ACGTTAGCGCAACAACTGAAAGAGCAGAAAGTGTCGAGTCTGATATAAGAAAGATTAAGACAAGAAAGCAAAATGTGTAATTAATCGGCGGTGACATTGCACATAAACTATAGAACTTATCGTTTAGCAGCTAGCGGACGGAAGCCTTTAGAATTATGCACACAAAGATCCAAAGTGTCAGGGCAATGATTTGCGTCGACTGATAAAATATCTTCTGGGATATCAGAAAGGATTGAAAATAATCCGTTGGAATAGTTTGTGGGCAACCCTTCGCTTTTGGCACAAAAGCTTCGTAAGGCCGAGTGAACCAGCCAAGGATTGGTATAACACTAATGGAAATTTGGGATGATATTCGTGACGAATGGGATGTAGGCAGAAGGTCAGTCGCGTTACAGGTCAACGCATCACTCCAAATAGTGCATGGAACGGTCACAAGTGGTTCGCGTTGAAGTGTCACACACGTAAGCATGGTTAACGTTTGGTGGGGGGGGGGAATGCATTATTCATTCACAGCCCTGCATCCGTCCGCCGGCACTCCTCAGACTGATCGGGTTAAAACTGATCGTCACATACTCCAAATCTCTGCCCCGTCCAACCTGTTCACGAAGCTGTTCACCTTGCTGTTCTAAACCGCCTCAACAGTCAGCCACTGGGGAGTTGATAGCAATCCCTTCCAAATGATTTCGAGGTTATCCTAGTCCAGCTCATGGCTTGTATCTATCAAGTGCATGGCTATTGCAGAACTGCTTAGTAGAGCCATATTTTCAAGCTCGTTTCTCGGTGGCCATGTTATGCATCTCTTGAGTTCCGTTATCCTTATGTATAGCTCTCTCGGCGTTTGGCCGATGTATACGTGCGGGCAGTCATTGCAAATAATTGTGTCGACGTAATTAGTTGTCCTACCTGCGGGAGGTAGCTTTTAAATGCGCCAGTGTAGAGCGGAGCGTTTGGACTTTCTGGATAAGTACCCTTAAGTCTTCTTCATTTAGGACCCTCCGGATGGTCTCCGAAGTTACATCTTTATAAGGAATACCCACCGTCACAATCCACTTCACAGCAGATATTGTAACGTAGTTAACACTAAAGATAGGTTGTTGAGTGATACAGAGTGTCAACTACTATACAAATGTTTGACATTTACTATCAAATATATAAGATCCGAAGAATTTGTTCCTAGTGTTGTGACTGTTTTAACGAAGTTATTTGTTTCAACTACTGAACATATTCGCGCAGAGGTTGTAAACATTATCAAATTTCAGCAGGCAGGGGGAGCCAAATCTTGCTCCAGAGGAGCGTGTCGCGTTAACTGTCCTAAAAGGAGATTCGAACATTATAATCATAAAAGCCGATAAGTTCAAAACCACTGTGATAATGAACATGTCAGATTATTTGGAAAGACGGAGGGAAACCTAGTGACGGGGCCATATAAGGTTATCGATAAAAAGTTCGTCACGTCAGTGATGAATAAGTCAGTTAGTAGTTACTTAAGGAACGTAAAGATGAATCTAGGACGGGGTAAATGGTACAACACACCCGAATTCCTCTCTTCCACCAAGATTGTATAACCTACCGAAGACACATACGCCCGATGTACCCATTTAACCTATTGTAAATGGCATAGGTTCCCAGACGCATGAACTGGCTAGATATTTGTCTAGTGTATTACAACCCTTGACAGGGCAGAAGAAGACGTTCGTAAAGCACAATATGACTTTGAGGGAAAGGTGTCCGATCTTGAGGTTGAGTCGAAGGAAATGGTGATCAGTTTCGAAGCTAGTGCGCTCTTTACCAACGTGCCAATATGCGACTTTTTGGGACGGCGAAACACCGTATGACTGGGGAGAGTGATCTAGGATAGTGGACGAAGCTTATGGTAGATCCAATAATGGAAGGAATGACATTGTGCCATAACATGTTTTATTTCACGTCCCAGTCTAGATTATACACTTAGGAACGGGGACTAGCCAAGGGATTGCCACTGTCCATGTGTTGGCAAATTTGAACATGGAAAACTTCGAAAGGAGCGTGCTGACTGACTCTTGTAGTTCACCAAAAATTTGGTGGCACTTTGTTATCATAAAACAGGATAAGGAAGACCAGTTTCTAAACCGCTTTAACACACGTGCGGAGACTAAAAGTTTCACTATGGAATTGGCATCTGGCAGTGGAACATTGTCATTCCATGACTGCTTAGTACACAGGAATGGGGGTAGTCTAAAATCAACGATAAAGAGTAAGCCGGCAGACACAGATGGTGTACGCCGTTACAGTTCAGGTCACCCAAAGCATGTGAATGCTGGCATCGCTTCATCTCGGTTTCACAGAGCCCAGACTCTGCGCATGAAAGAAGATGATAGGAAAACCACCGGACAAAAACAATGAATTAATTACTAATGACCAGACGGCTTTGGATATGATTCTGTTTAGTTCATCGTAATTAGATTCCCAGTCGCATAGGTAAGCTACCAATCCGGAAAAGTACCAGACTCGCGGCATGGTAATAGCTTGTACAGCTGTGCAACCTGTCCAACTTTAAGCAAATGGAATACCATATTTTCGAAGAAGCTAATAGGCTCACTAAACGTTTGGTGGGGATGTCCTTTAGAATCTTTTACTCACAGCTCTGCGTGCCTTAAAACTAGCCCCGGTATAGCTCAGACGCATGAAACTTAATATATGTCTCTTACTCATTATCATACACAAACGAGTTTATGCCCCAAGCTTGAACTTGAAGTACAAATTTGGGCCAAAGTATACTATTAGAGACAGCCACAACTTGCTACAAATAAAAAGGCTTAAAACACACGCACGTAGGAAATCTTTTGTGAAGGTTTATGCAATAATACTGAACAGGATACCTTCCAGGTTGCGAGAATGGAAATAATCAGAAATCTTTCTAAATGAGATCCGTACCTTGTTAACTATTGAATAGACCACCGAGCTGCTAAGGCAAAATGTCACGGAGGAGATGGCATACGAAAATGGTCGCTCATATATCTAAGCTATGGTAGCTATCGCCACCATCCTATCCTCCCGTATTCAACATTTTGACACCCTGTAACTGTTGGCGTTAAGAAAGCATTCTGGCCTGCGGTATAACAAAAAAGGATAGCGCCACACTGAGCCTCCCAAAACAAAACATATAGATATGGCTAACAACTTTTGACGATTTTTCCTGGTCTGTATATTAACATTTATTTATTTATGACCAAACTGTTTTCTTTATTTCCAAGCAATTTCCTTTCCTGTCAGGAAGTATCACCACAAAACTACAGGGTGCTTCATGACATCCGTCAATGTTAATTCCTACACACCTCAGCTGCCAGTAGTGGATAAATCCGGAACTCCCTTTTTGCGAGGACTTGTCCAGAAACTGTTACAAAAATCTGTCTATAAAATTCTACCAGATCAAGCTCAATTCGTAACTCACACCGTCGAGATATAAACAGCTTTTTCTGTTACTTTTCTACTCTTTAAATATGTCTCGTAATATTAAATAAATCTTTCACTTTCTTGAGAGCAACAGCTCAGCAGCATGTGTCGATTTTCAGTGTTCATCGATTCCAAATACTGTGTTTTGCGAACTCAGGTAACTATAGGATAAACCTGAAGTATCCTTTCAGAATTGCCTCGCATATCGACAATCCGAGCAACAAATCGTTACAGCGATCCACTGCACAATTTGATCGAGAAATCCGTCTGCCTTTCTTGCCGGTATTTAACAACAACGATTTCTTATTTCAAATCATAACCGTAGTTAACTTTCTACCTCCTCATGTTCTATATTCTTCTTTACTCCATTGTGGGCCACCACTGAGTCGATCTTCAGTGGCAACGGATTTTAGCCTCCAAACTGATAGATGAACCCGGGTGAGGCAAGATGCCAAGGACTCTGACGAGAACAAAAGTGCTTCCCTTAGAAAAACCGATTGCTATATGGCCTAATTGTTCATTATATATATATATATATATACTCTAAAAATCCCAAACGATGAGTACAATAAGTGATGGAAAACCTGCTTTAAAGCCACATCAGCAAACGGTCAGAACAGACACGGAAATACAGGTGAAAACTTTCGAGGGACTAAGCTGCATGCAAGTAGGCCCCCAGGAGACGAATCCAAGGTTGGTCATATTATTTTCACTAAAACATTTAAAACATTTAAAACAATTATTTTTACTAAAACATTTAGATTTATCTGCGTTTAGTATTTTAATCAACCAACGTGTATTTGAAAGACACAACTGATGAATCAGTCCAGCAAAATAGTTTTGGAAACTGTTCTGAAAAAAGAACTCGAAGAAATATTCTCCGTCCCATGCACACTTGTTGTACACAATGACCAAACCAATCAGTCGGACTGTGTCTTGCATCATCGAGGAATATACCCTATAATTTATTCATTAATAGTTTTTTAATGGATAATGAGCTCGTATTCTTTTGCGCGCAGGTCTACTATTGCAGATATTTATAGATACAAAATCTCCTTTACTGCTCTGTTCCTCAGCCAGGTAAGAGGCAAAAATTAATCTTGGGTTCATCACGAAACCGCGCTAATTAACCTTGGCAATTGTCGGGGTGTACTTGGTTCCATAGAGGTTGCTGTTGTTCAACCTATATATAGGCTAATTTGTGGAACCAGAAAATACCAAAACCCCATGAAATAACTGATGGATACCTTCTATCTGATGTGAATGTGTCTAGCTGTTAAGTAACCTTCAGTAGTTGTACGCATCCCAAGCAAGTGAATGATGTCAACTACTTTCTAATTCCTAATAGATAAAGGTCAAAAACGGAGTTAGCTATAATTACAAGTAAGATAGGAAGAACTTGAACTGTAATAATGAAGCAATTGCCATGGACCATACTTATTAGCAGTACAGGTTACAACGGTAGTGCGTGTTAGTAAAAACGAGCTGAAGAAGTCCTCTTGCAATGTTTAAATTGTACAAATCACTCAAATTCATAACAAGAGATTAGCTGGGCGAACTCCACCTACTCGTTAAACTATGTTAACATAGAACAATGCACACGCCTGCGTTCGACCATTCTGGTTAAATTCCCATTGCATTGCTCGTCTTCCCTGAAAGATAGAATGATATAAAGGCAATTATGGACAAAATTACATACTAGTGTGGGATACGTTTAAATGTACTAGATTCTACAACAATTTTTCTAAAAAAATATTTTCAGTAGTGCAGTATTACTCGTTTTCATCTAGGCGTACTGCACCAACTGGGTTCTAGGCATGCTCCGTTTCGCTGATAAAGTTGGACCGGAATGTTTCATTTGACAATTCATCCCAGGGCACATACCTAGTGGTCTTAAATTAGCAGCAAAGTAAATTTTTGCCATTTTACCAATCTGTTCTGTGATAGCAAAAAGCCCACGAGAATGCAATTAGCAGCTCCAAAATATTGTGATTTCCTGTTAATTTGTTATCCTAACATGACATACAGAATAACAGATAGCAAAGCTTTTTTGTAAAAATAAATGTGTTGTTATATTTGTTAATTGAAGCACTTACTTGAGGGAAATCGGCATAAATCGGTACCAAATGTGAATATGTGTAATAACTTCCGTGTTTTTCGATTCCGCAATTATCTTCCATTAGAAAATGACATGAAATATCCGATCGAAAAAGAACCGATCGCTGTAATAATTTCGTACCTATTGCCGTCAACGTAATGGTGCCAAGACTGACATTGTAGCCTGCGTTGACAGCAGCAAATGAAGTATATTATTACCAGCACATATTTGATAAGTGTTTTGAACAAATTAATAAACACGCAGCTGACTCACGTGAGTCAATATCTACCCATATTCTGTTAAATTGTGCTCTATGAAAACGGCAGTTTGAAGCATGATAATCTGACATGCGAAAGCGTAAAATCGCCATGTTTTCAGGAGCTGGAACAAATAAGTTAGCAACAATTATGTTATTTCACTAATGGCATATAGAGTTCACTATACTGTCGATCGCTAACTGCATGCAATACTGACTCACCGCAGTCACGGAAGGGTACTTCGGAGCAGCCTACTCCAAGTATAAAGAAAATTACAAAAAGTAAAATAATCAAAGACATGCTTGAATGAATATCGTAATTGTGCGGGTCGCTTTAGTACCATTTATATAGTTGCCCCATCCAAAAAAGTTAATATGCATGCAAATGAAATGAAAACTTTAGTCGTTTAGATAACGAAGTTTATGTATCGTACGACAATTTAAGTACTAAGCGTTTTCCGATATCTCCGAAAACAAATGGCGCTCCGAATTTTCGTTTATTCCGCTTCATTCAACTGGTGTTGGAGTGAAAATGAAAACAAACCCAAATACCTTCAAGTACACATTTGCATAAATTCTACTGTATGGTGCGTCGCACGTTCGATGTTCGAGTTGGTCTTCATTTAACTATTAAGTTTTTTAGGTTGTTAGCAAAACATGCGCTTCCTAGTCCGGGTCTCAGTTATATTATTTATCGTTAATTTATCCATAGGTTAATTTCACACAAACAAATGCCATCAAAAGGATATTGCATCAAATGTTTGACAAGTCAGCGTATTAGTTGGTAAAAGTTTTTAGTGTTTTTGTCTATTTTTGAGCGATTCGCTTCCACTCTGTGCCTGGTACCAGGGTGCAAATTCACATTTGATCACAGATACCTGCCCTATAACTCGGTCAGGACCAGGCCACTGGCAATTCATAGAACACGTACCAAGTTCTGTTACATTAATCCCTGCTTTTCTATTAATACCTAAGTATTTATTAAAATCTCAAGTAAAAGTGTTAAATTCTTTAGATATTCCAAACTGCTAAATTTCCGGTTGCGAGGTGGCGTAATACTTTACACTAAATATTTTACTACGAACTCGGAGACTGGAAGGTGTCCAGCCGAGCTTTCGTTTATGGTATTTGGTTGCATATGAAGACACTTTCTTAAGCTGTCATTCGTTTCGGAACTCGCAAGCCATTCTTTTCTATGAAACAGTTCGGATACCTTCCCAAAACTAGACTGATAGATACACTTGTGGGGTGCGACTCAGATGCTAGTCAAAGGAGGTGACAACTGAGAGACGTACCGAGTACGGACTTAGTGAGAACAGTTACATCTGCTGGACCCAAAGTGTATTGACAAAAGCTACCAGGAATGGAGGGTAGTTAAGCAGAGGCAGGCAGTTCTGTGCAGCATGACGCACCTGAGGACGAAGTAACCGGTCGGTACAATTAGTTAAACAAATGGATCCAAATGGAAATGCCTGTCAAAACAAAGTAAGAATTCGGAGCAGAAAGGAGTACACCTATTTGGTTTCTCAAAGATTTCACGGCATTTTTGTTGTTTTGCAAAGGGTTTGTAGATTAAGCACGCGACTGCTATAAAAAAAATACACAATCAAGGAATAAAACAAAACTTAACAAAATCTGAAAAATGAACTGGACGTCTGACATGTCTATTTAGTCGCTCAGTTGTCTGAGGCTGGGACTGGCTTGGCGGAGAGTCAAGGGTAGCCGAGGGATCTGGAATGATTGGTTTGGAAGACGCCGTTGCGGGTGGGTGCATCTGTGTGGTTGCAACTGCTGAGGATGGGGGCGGGTGTTAGAAGGCCACTATAAGACGATCGATGGACGCCGTTACTCCGTGACCATTCTGCTCCAAGCTAAAATGCTTCGGAGTTCATTGAAGATGTTATGTGGCGAGCACTAACTGACCAAGGAGATAACGATGCACTTTAGTGAGACCAAGTTGAATATCCACTCCGAAATTTGATCAGTATAATTCGTCTAAGTGTGTGATCCATATTCATTACGAAAAAATATCATATACAGGCTAAGAGACCATGTGCTACAAACAGTCGCCCGCCCGTAGACTAAAGGCAACGAGTTTGTCTTGGAATGTGATAGTGCTGGTTAAAGCCTGCTTAGGGGCAGGACGAGCCTAGTAGTATCCTAATTCCACACGAGACCAGTGGTGGTTCTGCGGCAGCGAAGCGTTGCTACCGCGTACCGGCGTACTGCTGCTGCCTTTCTTTCTTTTACAGTCATTCAGAAGAGCTACCATTGGGGATTAACCCAGGCCGATCTGGACTGCTCAGAACAATCTGATAAGGCGTTAAAGGCTGAAAACCAACACGTTGACATGCTGCTGAAGGCATTCGGGCGGATTGGTCCCTCTGTCTGCTTGCAGTACGGCTTCGTGTGGAATACGATATCCAGGCCTGGCAGCCCTGGCTCAAGCATGGCCTTTCAAGTATCGAGACTCCACGGAGTAGATCCATTAAGCGCGTCAAAGGGCTGTTCCATCTTCTATATCAAGATTAGCTGAGGACTCCAAGATTGTACAGCGGCCGGTATCGGCGCCTACGTCGCGACCTAATAATGACCCACCTACTTTTGAGGAATCCCAACCACGTCTGCTGCCAACTACTGCAACTCAGTCGGAACACAAATTTGAGGGGCCACCAATTCAAGTTGGTCAAGCAACGCAGTAGGCTAGAATGTCGTCAAAAAGTTTAGCTACTTCGTGTGTGACAGCCATGAGGCGCCCTCCCAAATTATGTGATTTCTGAGCCCAGTTCATCCGTGTTTAAATTGCGCCTTGTCGTTGCCCTAACCTACCTGCACTACGAGCTATAGCCTGTGTCCCTCAACAGATGATACACTAAGAACTGAATTAACACAATGGCGGATGGCATGCCTCAGTGTGAACACTATGGGGAGTGCACCAGGACGATTTTAATTTTATTACTTTATTTTCTTTTCACTAGTTTGGGGTTTTCATTCTGGCCATTCAACAAGACTTGTTAATTTTCCGCTTTTCTCCTTACTATACTATTGTTCTAGTGTTGAATTGACCAGTGACTACAACATGAAAAATAATGAACGTGAAAGCCACCCATCCTTGACCAAAATTACCACAATTCGTGGTTAATGTTTGCCCGGTGAATCACACTCACTTCGCTGCAGCATCGCTACTTCTGCTCGAACTGTTTATCGACTGCAGGAGAGTGAAAGCGAAACAATGTGAAGTTAATGGATTTGGAGACCGTGATATAAGTAGATACAATTGGCCCAATGTGTTTCATGGTAGAGTGACTAAAGCAGATTGGGCTAGTTTACAGTGGACGGAGAATTGTTGAGTGTTTTTTGAACCTTCCGTGACCCGTCTGATATAACTAGTTACCGATATACCGATACCACCAAAGCATTTGACGGCAACTCGAATCAACACGCTTGCACCTGTACGGCGAGCGTCAGTGCGATCGCAATTCTGGTCTATGCATCATTTTAAAATGACGCTCAGCTTCCTTGTTTTACTGTCCAAACGCATTGATTTAACATTTTTCCCACACCAGGGAGTGCACAAGTGTGATGATAATGTCCCTTGATTAGGACTAACACTTATAATGATCTAAAATCATGATGGGTATTCTCCTCTACGGTAGGTGGATTTAACAAGTGCGAACTTGATTTGATTTTTATCATAAATCAAGCGTGCACAAATTTATTTACGCAGCTGTCGACAGTAATCGGGAAATGAATGAGACAAGGCGAGAGAAGATTCAACCTACCATATTGTAGGTTAGGACAGAAGCGGGACAAAGGGCACTTGTTCAGGTATAAAGCCTGCTGGGCTCACACATCAATCCAAGTGACTGCGTACATTCCGGTCAAATCGTGCTTCTGATTCGGATTATACGTGTGTTCATATTGGATACACATTAGTCTGGCCAACTTACAATGCAATAGAGGACGCAATTCTAAGAGGACCCAGCCATCAATACTAATATATGGACACATTAACCAGGTGTACATAAAAGCAGGTGGACAGCCACTTGACCGAGTAATATCCCCCGACTCTTGGCGCCCCACAGGGCACGGTCATCAAGCCGATTTTGCTCTTGACCCACATCAACAATTTGCCTCAGCTTCCCAGTTCACCTAGCGCGTTGTTTGCAGATGACCTTAAGCCATGGGTACTTTAGGGCCCAGAAGAGTGTGAGCTGGCTATAACGTCATCTTGACGCCTCTCCATGTGGTTAGCGAACACTAACCTTCCCACGAAGTCGGTATTCATGAGCCTGGACAAGGGTGGTAATGGCCGAGACTACAATCACAACTGACGACAGTTAAACCCGTCAGCATACGTGAAAGATCTCGTCGTACTCTCACTCTGGGATTTGAAACACGAACAGGCTTTAACAAAACGGATTGCGCAGGCATTGAGCGCTCAAACGAACTTTCTGCGCTTGGTCCCGAAGAAAGTTGCCACCAGCCTCTTCTTTTCTTTCATTAGACCCATGCTGGACTACAACAAACCCGCCTACTGTCCGCTCACTCGGGGCGAAGGGCAAAGGATTGAGCGGATACAGCATGTAGCCACCAAGCTCATTCCCGGTTTACGAGATGTGCCATAAGAAGACCGATTCAAGGAGTTAGGGTTGACCTCGTCCTGACGCACCTGATACTACATCCCGGTGAGTACCCCATTTTGAGAATGTTGCTGCATCATGCGCACACCAAGCTACGACGACGAGGACATCGGTACAAACTTGTCGTACTGGAATTGAAGTGGGTCACTCATCAACTCTGCTTCTAGCGGGGGATGGTGAATATTTGGAAAAAACCTGCCTGCAGCATCATCATTATACACGTTAGCTGGGGAAAACACCTCAGCTACCGTGCCCCAATGCCTGCAGACAAGGTGGAAGCAAAGTCGGTGTCGGAGTTTAAGAAAACGGCACTTTGCCGAATTGAGATTTACAGAATAATCACCATTTTATTAGGCAAATTTACTTAATGATATTAGATGTAGCTACATGGAGATATCTCTACTTGCGTGAATTTTCTTAAATATTCAGTATCATACTGAAAATTGGCAA